ATTTAAATGTAAAGCAATGAATAACTAAGTAAATATACCTGTGTCCTTAATTGATTTCCCAAAGTTTCATATTTACCCTTTGGTATAAATTTAAATCTTTTACGGTTAAGCCTTTGTGGTGCAATGTTACCAGCTCTTGGGTCATAATAAGGATTTTGAGTAATGTCATTAATGTCTTCCGAGTTTTTTAAAGTTTTTGGTTCTTGTTTTACTGTTGCAGGAACTAAACGTTGATTTGCCTATTATTGTATTTTGTTGTTATTGTTAAGGTGAAAACAAAATGTCAAATTTTGTTCTATGATAAAAAACATAACAAAAAATTTTTTTGTGGTGTATATGCATTAAAAGAAACAAACACACAACTAAATTTATAAATCTATAAAACTTTTTCAACATACCTTGACAGTAGCAAAGTTTGGTTTTGGAATTAATGTTGATGCTTGTTTTAAATCCAATTTGCCACTTTGATCTAAAAGAAGAGCTGGATGTGCTTCGACTTTAAGACCACCTTTAGCTTTTGCTGAATCATCTGATTTCCCCGTTACAGTAGTTGAAGGCTGTAAAAAGGTAATGAATGAATGATAATATTAATTGATTATCATTAAAAAAAAAAATCATCCAACTGACTTTAATAATACCCAACAAATAAATTTAATTATTAAAAACATACCAAATAAGGATTGGCTCTTGCCATATTTATTTTAACTCTTTCTTTAGCTTCAAGAATTTTACGTTGAAGATCAGGATCATTTAACAATGATGCTGCAGTTGATGATGAAAATGATGATGATGATGCATTTGTAGTTGTTGCTGATTTATTTGTGGGTAAAGAAGTTGTAGCAAATGTTGAAATTGGTGATATTTTAGCAGGAATTGTTGTTGGTTTATTTAAAGGTTTAAAATTAGCTACCAATGCCTCTAAGTGTGCCTTTTTTTGTGCAATCATAGCTCTTATTTGATCGGAGTTTGGAGTAACATTTTGTGTAGGGTTAGATTCAGAAGGTGCAGGAAGGAAGCTTGGAACACTCTATAAACAAAGTTACCCAAAAGAAATATTTAGATATATAACAAAGAAAAAATTTAAAAAAGAAACCAAGCTTTATAATAAATGTTCCTATTAAAACTTACTGTACTAGTACTGATGACAAACATTTTTTTAAAAAAAGAAGCAAGTCACAGTATATTATTATAAAAGTTATAACAATGGTTGAAAATATTTTTACGGGAAAATGGAAGTTCTAATACCTCTTGAATTTTTTGATTTCTGGCTCATCGGTAGCTGCTTGTTCTTCTTCATCGCCCAAAAGATTTGTATTGCGAAGTCTTTTACGTTCCATTTTGTGAAAAGAATTTGGGAATTTTAAAAAAAAACTTTTTCGTATGTACTTAAATTTGTAATTTGTTGTACAAAACGTTGCATGTGAATTCGGAAAAAATTAATAGTAGTGAAATCAACTTTTGGGATGCTGAAAAAGGACATCTGCCCGCCCCCCGTCATTTTCAAGTTTGGCCCATTAATAGTAGAAAAATAGTACGGGCGTGATATGGTCGAAGCATCCCTTATACTTTTCTACAATTCATTGAAAAAAACGGATGGGTTTACTGTGCCATTACCACCCATCTCACTCCAAATCAACAGTGCCATTGTCTTATTAAATTGCGTTGTATATATTAATATTAATATTAAATCATCCTTCTCATTGCAGACTACAACATGTGAATACTATATCACAAAGAAAGTTCAGGAATCAATGTAATATAAGAATCTCTGCAGAATTTCAAATTAATTGTAGTCACCAACTTTAATTATGACCCAAAAAATAGAAAGTTTTTTTTATTGGATCTGGTTTTCTTTTTGAGACTTTTGCTCGTACTTATCGACTCACCATCCATTACTGTTAACTGAACCACTAAGAAAGTATTCTGCCCTAGTTTATCACGTAATTCAGCAAACTTTTGGAATTTTAGTAGAACAGCCGCAAGCACAACATACTTTATTGCCCTTTCGTATTCATTAAAGCCATTATATTCATTTTTATTCATATACATATAACCTATATATAAATTTTATCGCTTTGTAGGTTTTTTCTATTATTTGAATTATTTAAAGGTATAGTGTAAGTCTGGGAAGACAGACAATTGTGACAGGCCATATTAATATGAGAAATTCACAAATCCGAATTTGCATATGCCTGTTGATGCTGAGAAATTGAATGTTCATGAACCCCATAAATTAGAAAGTAAGGATTACGCATCTGCAGAAGAGTTTGAACCAGACATCCGATTGATGTTTGACAACTGTTACAAATTCAACGTCCTGGTAAACAATTTGATAAAAAGCAGAAAGACCAAATCTACAATTTTCTCCAGCCGTTTGTGAAAAATTAGGGTGTGAGAATCTGCTTCAAACAATTTATACAAATCAATTAATTTTTTCTTTCTGTTAAGCCAAACATTATCGTCTTAATTAATATAGAAATTCGGAAAAACCAAGACCAAAAACTTGCCACTACTAAAAAAAACGGAGAAACCTTGATCCCTGAAAAAGGTGGTTATGGGTTAGAAATTGAACCTATCAACTGCTAAACGAATTTATAATTTTGTAATGGCAAATGTTTCTGAGCCAAATTGTCGTAAAAAAAAAGTCAGGTATGGTTCTTTTTCTTTTTTTTTCAAAATTTCGTAATGTTCTTTACTATTCTAAAAAAGTAAGTTTTAATTAATTGTGTTATATTTATAATTTTTCCACGTTTTTTTTTTTAAGATTAATATTAAACATTAGATTATATATTTTTTTCAACTTTATGGATACATGTGATCACAAAAGATTCCTAAATTATTCTTAAAAATGATACAAAATTTGAAATGTGCAAACTTAATTCAAACTTCAAAAAAAATTTTTAACTACCGAATTATTAACCAATTTTTGAACACTATGACCCAAGAAAACCAAACTTCAACAACAGCTGGTAAACACTAATTCATCAATTTATCAATTCATCATCAATAATAATAATAATAATAATAATAATTAATTTTCTTTTTTCTAAAAAATAGTCAGCCTTCGTCCTATTGTGGTTTCAGGTCCTTCAGGTAAAGGAATTGTGGACAAAGAAAATAGATTACATAAATGGCATATATATAATATTAATTAATTGTTGAAATATATTTTTGTCATATAATTGATAAATAAAAAAGGGACGGGAAAATCTACATTATTAAAACGTCTTTTTGAAGAATATCCCAATAAATTTGGATTTAGTATATCACGTAAATTTTTCAACAAGAATGTTTTTCATCTGTTTCCATGACATCAATCAATGATTAATTTTGTTATAAATATTTATATTTAAATAGATACTACACGTTCACCTCGACCTGGAGAACAAAATGGTCGTGAATATCATTTTGTGCCCCGAGAAAAGTTTTTTGAATTGATTAAACAAAATAAATTTATAGAACATGCAGAATTTTCTGGGAATTTATATGGGACTAGTGTGGATGCTGTTAAAGCTGTGGCAGATCTAGGAAAAATTTGTATACTAGATATAGAATTACAAGTAAATATAATAACAATCTATAACATATATCCAATGAATTTACAATGTGTCCAAGAAACATAATTAATTAATTTTCTTCCTCATTTTATATTTTCAGGGTGTTAAATCTGTCAAGAAAACAGATTTGAATGCAAGATATTTATTTATTGCACCACCATCAATAGAAGTTCTTGAATCACGTCTTCGAAAACGTGGCACAGAAACAGAATCTTCCATCGAGGCACGTCTAAAAGCAGCCAAAGAAGAATTGGAATATGCAGACCTAGAAGGATCTCATGATTTCATTGTTGTCAATGATGATTTAAATACAGCTTATGAAAAATTTAAAAATTTTATCATAGAAAATAAATAAATTGATTGATTATTCTCTTAATTATTTAATAATTTATATATATTTTTTATTAGAATGTCATATTATATTTATATTCCATTGTACATCTATAATATCTGTAGATTGGCTTAGGTTTAGTAAAATGATAAATATAATGTGATTAATAATAATTTATGGAAAATTATTTTTAAAAACAAACCATTCAAGAAATCTTCAAAATCAATAGTTCCATTAAAATCTCCAATCCAAGATTATTAACTGGGAATCTTTGTGCCTATATTATAATTATCATTACGATAATAAACACTTTGATAAAATAATTATCCATTATCATTATCATTAACATTTACACCTTTGAAACAATATTCCGTTCTATAAGTTGCATGAAAGCCATAGTTCCTTCAATTTAACGTAAGTTTCAATTATTTTGCATTTCTTCCCACTAATAATGATAATTCGAATCATATTATATATATTCATCACAATTCAAGTCTATTTTCATTATTTTCATGTGGGAATTAGATTTTATGCGCCATGCATCTTACGCGTCTTAATACCACAAAAAAAAAAACTGTTGATCATAGATTATGACCAACACCCTAATATCAATAATGAATGAAATTGGAGATGAGAATGAGAAGTTAAATGTCGAATCTGACATAAAATTGGATTCTAGTATACATTTCCCAACTTGGAAGGATTTAAGCTTAGAAAGGGTGATCATAAAAATTTGAAAGTGATAACTTAAAGAAGTGGAATTAACCCATATCTAAATCACAAAGAACAAACTGTAGTTGGCATTTAAATCTTTCGTGTCCTATACATTTTATAATGAACATTTTGGACAACTTGCTTGATCCTTCTGCAAAAATGATATCGAATGGATGTGTGTAGATGGACGTTTAAAACCTCTCGCAATAAAACGGTGCATATTAAAATTCGTGTACATTGCTTATAAAATTAAAGACCCTTATTAATTTACCTATTTTTTTTTTTTAATTAAAAAATTGTAAATCGCAAATAGCAAAAAACTTGTTATTTTTCGATGTATACATGTGACTAATCTGATAACATTCATTATTCCCTATTTATGCAACATAAATTCAAAGTTCGGATCGTGGGCAATTAACAAAATTTTTGAATTGCGAACTTGAATTTATTATTCATTTTTTTTTTAATCAATATCTTATTTAACAAATAATACAATCCAGCCATTATATAAACACTAATAAGACTTGTGATCTGTAAATTAAAAAAAATTAGCATTGTGTTTTCCCAAACCGCTTAATTTGTGGAGAATTTGGAAATTCATTCATAAATGATAATATTTGTAGCAGTGGTGTAAGCAATCCTTTGTGACTTTTGAAATCTTCTGCCAATCCATTTACTTTCTCCTGTAAATACCAAAAGTTTTTTGTCACGATTCTCAAAAATTAATGGACATAGAAAATCTTATAATATCAAAAGTGAGAAAAATGCAGACCTCCAATGCCACAAAGTGACAGAATGTAGACTTGATCAATGGCATTAACGGTTTATCAATGGCCAATTTGGTAGCGTGAAAATTCCATGATCGGTATAATCCGCTAAACCTCAAGTCAATAAAAAAGGTTTATATAACATTTCCTGATGGTATACATATATACAAATTAGCTAATATATATAAAAAGTGCTGGTAGTTCATATATACACATATTTAGCAAAAGGGCAGCTTCGCCTGGCCCAACTTTCACATTTAGTTGTTCATTGACAGACTTCTTGGCCCTAAGTTTCAATTTGATACTGTCTTTCTTTCTTTGCAGTGGCGTGTATCCAAAAGGTTTAATAATTGGTTGGATTATCGAGATACGTATTAGTATGTGTTTGTTTTATTAGTGTAATTATCCCCGCCGATCCTTATTTAAAATCGGTGCAGATCACTCCTTTTTAAAAGAATCACGAATTAAAACCTCACACACATATACACGTGGGTATATATGACAGGAAAAATATTTGTAACCCACTAAAAAATTTATTTGGAATTGATCAACAAATTATTTTGGAAAGATTTTCAAAAAGTTTATTATTGAAAATTAAAAAATTAAATAATATGAATTAATGAATGAATATGTGAATTAATAATATGAATGAGTGATGAAAAAGGAGAAGTATGAATATGTTTATAGTATTTTCTAATGATAATATATATTAATGATAATGAAAATGAAATTAAAATTACACATAATATATAATATAAATATTAATAAATTATATTTAATCTTTAGATAAAGTTAAACAAGTCCATCCTACAACCAAAGTCCCAGGTGGGTTAGTGCCCGCTCTATTTATAATATCAGCTATGGTAGCTAATGTTCCGTGAATGACTCTTTGATCTTTGCAACTTGCCTTCTCAATGACAGCACAAGGACACTCGGGCGGATATTTTCCATCATTAATCAAATCAGTAATTAATTGTTTAATTCTATGAATAGCCATTAAGAAAACAGTTGTTCTACATGAATTATATATAGGAATGTCAGGAAGAGAATTTTTACGTCCAGTTCCTGTACATATCAACAATTGAGATGCAACTCCTCTATGAGTGACAGGGATGTTGGCATATAATGGAGCGGACAAACAAGAAGAAATACCAGGGATAACATTAGGAATGTAACCATGAGATTTAAAGAATAGAAATTCCTCGCCACCACGACCAAACAAAAATGGATCTATAATAAAAAAATTAGAGCAGAAAGAATAATTCAAATAATAAATAAATAAATAAATAAAATAATAATATTATAGTATATTATATTATAGTAATAATACTTACCACCCTGTTTTAATCTAACAACATGTCTTCCATTATTTAAAGCTTGTAAAATTGTTTGATTTATTTCTTCTTGAATTGCATCAGCATTTGCACAAAATTTCCTAGTTGCGACTATTAATTCAGTGTCTGAAGGAACCAATTTTAAAACCTCCTCTGGAATTAATTTGTCAGCTAACACCAAATCAGCTTCTTGAATAGCATTACAGGCTGCCTGTGTTAATAAATGAGGATTACCAGGACCCGCACCAACAAGTTGAATTCTACCACATTTTTTATTCGATCTTGGCCCTGATATTGATCTTATATTATTATTATTATTATCAATTGTATGAATTTTTTCATTCGAATTCAATTCTTCCGTATTTTTAATAATAGTGTTATAATTACTATTTAAATATTCAACTAATTCATAAAGTAGAAATTCTTTTGCTGTCTCAATAATCTCCATAATCTTTATGCTATCTAGATTTCTGATAGATATTGAACCAGTGTACATGTATCTATTTGTTTTGAAAAGGTAATAATGATGTTGATATTCATATCAATAAGTAATTCCTTAATTATTATCTTTTTAAAATATTAAAATAAATAAAAAGAAATATGTTTTACAAGCTTACTTTAATATAATCTCAAATGTTAAAGGTGAAATATAAGGTTTCTCCACATAATTCCAATTGCCATCTCTCATAAAATTATTTTCACTTTTAAATAAATTACGAAAATGAGGGGAGACAGCTTTCAAAATGAGAGAATGAGCTTTAAAAAGTTTTGTGTCTTGTCCATCACCTACTCTGATAATGGTATTATATTCATTATCGTCATCATTATCAACGTCTTGAATTAGTTGACCAATTTTATTAGAAAATGTTGTCAATAAATTATTTGTTGTCATTTTTTCAATTAAAATATTAAAATTTTTATTTTATTATATTATGTATGTTATGGAATAAAAAAAAATTTTTTTTGATTTAAGCACATTTTTATATGAAAATTTGACTAATGATAATCTTATCGTCAATCATAAAAACAAACAAATATGCCATGTTAACTATCTATTCAGTGAAACATCAACAAAAATGCAAGATAACAGAATTATTTATTATCGGATTAAAAAAAAACAAGTTAATCAAAATAATAAATTTTTTTTAAAAATTGTTGGACATCACCACTTACTTGTCCAGGTAAAGTCTCATAATTTTCTAACAAATTAATTGCACCAACTCTTAATCCGACAATAAAATCACCTGACTGGAACCTTACTCGGAATAAATGGAGATGTTTCTTAGAAAATCCACCAGTAACTATGTATGGCAAGTCAAAATGGACAAAAGGTCGTTTGAATTAAATGCTAGAAATTTTCATGTAGCAATAAGAAAACTGCATACATGATGGCGAAATAGTAATAGGTTTATTTCGAAATTAAAATCAACTAATACTAATACTAATACTAAATTCAAATTCTAAAATTAAAAAAAATATATTGCTTTTAAATTATGCCAAGCAATTCTGATTCTCAAAGTCTTTATTTGCCAAATTCTAAGAGTGCTGGAAGACTTCCTGTTATTTTTTGGACACATTTTAATAAAGGTACAGAAAGAAAAACTACTTTAAATTGCATTTTATCAATGATGAATTTAGGTGAAATAATATATACATATGTATATTAGGAATTGAAGATATTGTGAATTTAAATGATCCAATTTTTGATAGTGAAAATACTATCAAAGAATTGAAACAATGAATTATGTAGCTGAAGATATTTGTTGAAGAATTTTTAGTAGGATTGGAAGACATATAATTAATATGATTTAAAAATAAAGTCATTTGATTTGTTATTTGATTTCATGTAAATTTTGACTTTGAATTAAATTACAATTTTGATTTGAATTTTGATTTTGGATTTTGCTAGAGACCTTTCGGTTTCGACAACTTGAGTAATTTTTTCGAAAATTTTCGAATTTTATTAAATGAATTTCGCCATCATGTATGAGAACCACTTTCTCTTTTCCAAAATCATCTTCGACTTGGTTGAGGTTGTATTACGAGTATTATTGGCAACAATATATTTCTTGGCTCATAAATGCGGCTACATCTGTAAGCAAATTTTCCTCTTCTGATTATTGTTTTATCATTAGGATCAAGTTCCATTCTAAACTCCAAAGCCTTGTCTTTGCTATATAGATAAATGAAATGTCCAACCCGATCCCAATTGTCAAATTCTTGATATATTTGTATATTGATTTTGAGTGTCAATATTCAATCTTTAAAAAATTAATAAAAGTGTTTGTAAAATAAAAAAAGAAAAATGTAAAAAAAGATGCATAAAATTAAAAAAAAAATCATAGAATCTATATTTTCAGGATTATTTACAAAATATCCGTTTGTGTCAATGTGTACATTTTAATTTTTGTAAGCGGTAGCTAAAGTCGTTGATTAACAGAGGTAGCATCACCAACATTGATTGTAAAAAATAGGTTTACGTGTACAGTTCACCCTCTATGACGACATACGTGTAATTTGTTCTTTATAGAGAGAATATTTAATGAATCGAGGACAAAATTGAAGTTCATTATAAAGAGAGTAGATTTATGCGTATTTGTAAAAAATTTTTTAATATTAATTATTAAATTTCGAAATGTCACAAAATTTAATATTAAAAACTTAAAATTAAATTCTTGAATTTTATTGGATAACTTATTTACACTGTATCAAGGAAGTTTAATGTTATCACGTGACTATTAGAGTTAAGAGTTGGTGCACCCACCATAAAAACAACAAAAATTTTTAAACTTTAGCAAAATGGTTACCGCCAAAAGAAAAAGCCTCAAAAAAAACAATAATAATGCTATCACTAACGATGATAAGAATAAACTTATCGCTGAAGAATTTAAATCGTCTGATTCAGAACAAAGTGTAACTACAACAAGTCCAACAACAACTCCTCGTACCAGAAGTCGTCAAACTCCAACGCGTACTTCTCCAAGGAAAATTCGTAAATCCACGCCTACTCCTTTCACCTATTCTCATTCAAATGTCTTCAAAAAACATTATATTGAAAATATCCCGATCATTGAAACTACCATAAGATTTGAAGAGGATGAGTACGATGTTTGGCGTCGTCTAGATACTGACGAAATTAATCTCCACTACTTGTTACGTGTCAGATATCCTACTGATAATGATGTAGATGAGTGGAAACGTGAACTTGAGAAGCTGAAAAAAGAATTTTCTAAATATAATATTGTTGAAGAGGGTTGGTTCTATGGTATTTGGTAAGTTCATATTGATCAAGAAACAAATGCTTGAGAAATATTATGAAATTTTAATATTGATCAATTTCTCTATACATTCATTATTTATAAAATTATTAGGGTATCACTTGATACAGGTAAATAAACTATATAATATATAAATAAGTATTATGTATTTATGGATATTTTTTACTTATAAAATAAATTAGCACGCGATGTTGCTGTGAGATATGGAATTTATGATCTTGTTTCTGTGTTGTTTGAATATGATGATATGTGGTATGAAAGCCCAAGAATAAAGGTAATTTGAAAAATATGTATATTTATACACATGCATCTACTACACATATTTAATACAATGCCAATATATTAATTATTTTACAATATATATAATAATCGTAATGATCCCAAGAAAAAAAGCACATTTGATGCTGCATCTAGTGATGGGACTGAGTCAATCAATGGTTCAAATGCAGAAAACATATTTTATAACGATGAACCTTCTTACAGAGAACCTAAAGGAAAGGCTGTTGTTCAAACCTCCACCACCACAAGTGAATCAAACCATAGCCATAACAAGAATAGTTTAGTTGATCGTGACGATGATGATGATGGAATCTCACCATCAGTCGATATCAAGAAGAAAAAAACACAACTTCAATCTACTAATCGCGTCCATCATTGTTCAGTACCAACTGACAATGATGTTGACGCTTCTTCCTCTAAGGACATCCGAGATGAAACGGCTGAAACAAAGACTCTGAAAAGGAAACGGGATGATATCGAAATCAAATCTAGTGCAAAAAGATGTGCTCTCTGGACTGGAATCGGTGCTGCGGTTGGTGCTGGTGTGGCTGCTGCTGCTATTAACACTTTTGGGGCCGGGATATTGGATCTATTAAATTAATGGTTTAAGAATCGTCAATAAATTTTTAGAAAATCATTGGTCGCTACTACTAATTCTTATTGAACAAAAAAAAATTAGTGTTTTTGAACATTATTTGATACTTCTTTAATACGTATATATCTACTTTTATGATTAATCCAACTTTTAGATAAATATATATATTTAGACAAGGGTTTAAGTTATCATTAAAGGATAACATTATTAAAAAATATATAATTTTCATGCTTATTTTTTATCATTCTTTTTATTTTCTTTCATCTCATCCACTATCATCATCATCATCATTTTTTAATGTGTATATAGATAATCATAAATGCTTCTATATGTAAATATATTCCATGTTATATTTTTATCCTAATACAAAAATTGATTTTTTGATCGATTATTAATATGGTAATTGTTTCATGCACTAACCTGCCACATTAATTGAAGACATTTGTTGTAAATTTCGTTGTAAACCATAACAAGTTACAAGGTAATTAAAAAAAAATCTAAAGTTTGGAAGATGATGCTTTGATTGAAGAATGAAATGTTTAACATTATCATCATATTACTTTAACTATTATTAATAATCATCAAACTTCAAGAAAAATAGTTTACCAAAAAAGAATCTCTTCTGCTCGTGGAATTAATCGCATTGTGTATTGCTCTAATTTTTTTAATCGATCATTCTGGAAGTTTATAATATGAATTCTATGAATGGATGAGATATAAATATTTTTATTTTGTAGGGCTGGAGAAAAATTATCTGCAAATTACAGATTGAATTTTATTATATGATTGAGAATTTTTATTATCACTTGGTTTGTGAAAAGTAAAATTTATATATATTCCAAATTATTGCTATTAAAAATAATTTTGATTTTTTTTTTTTAATTAATCAAGCAATTATACTTTTTAAAGCAATCAGCATACAAACAGCTCCTAAACAAAAAAATTAAGATCATCTGTTAATAAATTGTATGTATATATTTGCATAATATCAATAAAATGAAAACCATATGAGTACCACAAGGAATTTTTTTTAAAGGTTATTTAGCACTTGTATACTTTGTTACAGCCTTAGTTCCTTCAGAAACAGCATGTTTTGCTAATTCTCCCGGAAGGATAAGCCTGACTGCAGTTTGAATCTCTCGTGAAGAAATTGTGGATCTTTTATTGTAAGTAGCAAGTTTTGAAGCTTCTGCTGCAATACGTTCAAAAATATCATTCACAAATGAGTTCATAATAGACATTGCTTTGTTTGAGATGCCAGTCTCGGGATGGACTTGTTTTAACACTTTATAGATATAACTAGAATATGTTTCTTTTCGAGCCTTTTTTCTTTTGACTTTATTATCAGTTGTTGCTGTTGCAGCTGTTTTTTTCTTTTCTCCTGAAGCTGCAGTTGTTATTGGAGCTTTTGAAGCTGGTTTTTTTTCTGATTTTGGAGGCATATTTACTAATTATTAGATAACTTTTTTTGTTAAAATAATTGTTAATCAAAAGATTACTGTATCACAAAAAAAAATTCAATGATTGAAGAAAATATTTTAAAACTTGATACGCTACCACCAGAAATTATTATTGCAATATGTCGAAAATTATCACTATTGGATAAATGTAGTGTAAGTAAAGTTTGTAAATGTTTTCAAAGGATAATTTACAATAACTTAGAATTTTGGAGATTTCTCGATTTATCACCATTTAGTGAGAATCTCACAAACCAACATTTGTTTAATATATTAAGAACAAGATGGAAGTCAAATATAAAAGGTCAACGTTTAGATTTAAGTGGGTGTCAATTAATTAATTCTTATGCACTTGAGAAATTAGCAGCAATGTATTCGGATTTTCAAGGAATCCATTTAAATAATGAACCACGTTATGATACATGGATTTCAGATGATGATGGTTATAATGATAATGAATACAATGATAAATGGTTAAAATTAAAGTATTATCATAAAAGTCCTACCTTCACAAAAGCTGGTAGACCAGGATTATATCAAAAATGGCGAGTTTCACATTCATCACTATCATCAAAAACACAACCATGGATCATCGGTGATAAATCAATTCAATTAATTATACAAAAATCTTATAAAACCTTAAGTCATCTATCACTTGGAAATCAAAAACTTCGTCATGAAACTGCTACTGCAATTGCATCTTGTTCGCAATTACTTTATTTAGATTTATGTGGTACAGATTTAAATGATGCCTCTTTACAAGACATTTTGACAAAAACTAATAAACTTGAATCTTTAAAATTGTTAGATATAGAGTTGACACCGATGACTTTAATGATAATAAGACTTTTGAAAAATTTACGGTTATTGCATATAAGTGGACTTAATAAAAAAAATTTAAATTCAAGATCAATATCTGACACGTTAAAGAATTTATCGAATTTGCAAAATTTTAGAATGAATCAAACAATGATTGGTGAAGTTGACCGAGTGATTATAGAAGGGCTTTCGTGGGTATTTTGTGACGGACCAGTAGAAACATTTAATGTCATGTTAGAGAATAATCGTAATAACAATAATGGCACATCGGTAAAACAAAACAGAACTTCACTACGTTATCTTGATCTTTCACCTAAACTTGATATTTATCCAAGAAGTCAAGAAAGTCATGTTCAAATAGAACATTATATAACAATTAGCAATTCATCATTATGGTCATTATCTGTTAACCATCCTTTTTTGGTTTCTTTAAGGATATTTAATGCTTATGCTATAAGTGCAGAAGGAATTGATGTATTGTTATCAAATCTTCATTATTTGGAATATTTGGAATTGAGAAGATGGCGTGGTATGGATTTAGATCCAATCAATAGATTGACACCATCTTATTGTCCAAAATTAAAAGAGATTGTATTACACGGCATTGAAATATCGGATTTTGACGAATGGATAAAAGTTGTTGAAATTGATCAAAAAAATGATGACGACTCCATTACTAAAATAAATTATGTTGGATTTCGAAATTTGGAGGTATTGGATTTGACTGATATTTCTGGTTATTGTGATAAACATTTTGATTTTATGGTGGTACAATGTTCAAAACTTCATAAAGTAAGACTATTAAAAACTGGTGTTAAAGATCTTGATGAAATAGTTAAAAAAAGAAAAAGGATTATTATAAACAACGATTCCGGGTGGATGGACATTTTACATAGCTATAATTAGTCGGACTTATGTAGTAATAAATGTGCATTACATGATTGTTTTATTATAAATTCAGTCGTTTTATTATTTATTTACTTTTTTTTATTGCGCGAGAAAAATTTTGAATTATGAATTTTTCAATTGAGAAAAAGATAAGACAAGACAGATCAAACAAACATCATCTAATTCAATAAAGTTATTAAACAAAATCCCACTTGAATATATTGCGGATCCTGCAAGACACGAAGAAGCAGAAATGGGTTGAATGGTGGGTTGAATGATAATGGGACCATCCACATCATCCGGGATTTAAAAATAAAGCAGAAAACGATAGAAATGGTAAAAGTGATAATTTATTAAGGTTACCATCTGGTGCAATATCAAAGGAGCCAAATTTGATCCGATCGTACCAGATGATATAATCTTATTGGTGGACATCATCAACAGCATAGTCATGAACTTCATCCTGTTGCAGGACAAAATCCTGGTGAATTGTTACCACTAAGACAAGAACACTCCATACCTCAAACTACAAAACCCATTTACAATGACACAAACCAAACAGAAGATTATTACTATAAGCGATAGTCACCATCTTGAAAGTAACAGAAAAGAATTTGGTCCACCAGGTGGTAGAAATTTGGATGGTGGTTTTGGTGATGGTGGTAGGTTTAGAGTTTTTAAATGGTTTTAAATTTTATCATAAAGTAGTATTGAGGAAAAATTGCAGATAAATTGTTATTTCACGTATATAATTTTAATTAGTTTTTTTTTCAATATAATTTCTTTTTTTTTCTCATTAAATTAATAGTAAATAATGAATAGTGATAATGAAAAAATTAGGAGATCACCATATTAGGATTTCTTCCCATTAATATTTCATAGACCCTTTTTGAAATTGATTTATTAATGTATCTACCTCTTTGTCCCAACCAAATACCTGAAATCTTTAATAGAGAATATTTTTTAACATTTATTTGTTTAATTAAATATTGTTGATTATAATAATAGTAATACCTCTATACTTGTTAACAATTTTTCGGCTTCTTCTTTATCTTTACATCGTTTATATGCATAATACAATGACTTGATTGTTGGATACTTATTAACAATTCCTTTTGCTACAGAAGGGGCAACAAATTGTATTTCCTGCAACATACGTAACCATGTATCACCAGCATCAACTCCAGTTCGAATTTGACCTTCAATCAAAAAGTTCAAATTTCCATTTCGATTCCTAACATTCATATATATGTGGTTATTTATAATATTATAACGGGAAAAAAAGCTCAAAAAAGTCTACTTACTTGTAAGGAATTGTTGAGATGTCTACTGAGAATAAACCTATAGTTTCAACTGTATCACTTATATCTTTTGTGTGAACAATGGAACATTTCCCAATAATTTGAAGCCAGATCAATTCTTCTTCAATTTTTTCAGGATCAGGTCCCAAATTATTATTATTGGCTGGCTGTTTTTTCTTGTGCCTTTGAATTTCGTTTGTTTCTTGATCTTCTTCTTGATTTTCATTAATTTTTGCACGAACTGCATTAGTAAAATTACGATTGTGATGTAATCTTTTCTTTCTGCAATATTCTTCAAAACCTTCTATTAAAATAATCAACTTTTTATTAGTAAATGCATTTTTCAAATTTTGTAGATAATCTTTCATGGAATTTTGCCCAATGATCTTGCCCAGTTCTGAAATTGGAAGATAAACCATTAAATAAACATCATCATGAATTTTTTCAGGTACTGGCATGAAAGCATCAAGTTCATCATCCCATTCTGCGCTAACTTTTCTTCTCCATTTAATGATCTTTGAAATATTGTGTTGAATTGTATTAATTGTTATAAATTTTGATTCTAAATTAGATTGTATCAAAGAACCAAAAGTTCCTTCCATTAAAGAAGCTTCAATATCGGCAATCAATTCTCGCGTCATATCAAATTTTTCAAATTTTTTTTTGTTAATTTGTTGAATTTGCTTGACTCTTTGTTTTTCTGCTTTTTTTTCCAACTATCATAAAAAAAAATTTTTTTTTAATTAAAAAATTAAGAAAATATTGTTTGAACAAAATCTATTCAAAAAATTTACTTTTTTACGTTGACGTTCTAGTTTTTCTTCTACTTTAGCTAGCTGTAATCAATGGTTGTGTTAAAATCATATTATTATATTTAATAACAAAATATATATCAAGGGTTTTTAAATTAATTTTTACCCTTTCAATCGAAATAGTTCTTTTAAATGATTTTTTCGAGCCTTCTTTCTGATTTTTTTTAATAATAGAGTCGTCGTCGTCGTCGTCATCATCATCATCCTCACTACCACCATCTATTTCTATGATTTTTCTTTTTTGCTAAATTAGAGATATGTTAAAATTTTTTTTGAGATGCATGCGTGCATATTAATTTATATTTATATCTATCTACTTACTTTTTGTTTATTCTTATCATTGTTATCAACTTTTCGCGCACTTTCAAAGAACTTAATTTATGTATATATGAAATTTAAAAATTTATTTAATAAAATTATCTTTCAAAAAAAAAAAATTTTGTTACTTTACAGTTCCACCAAGAGTTTGATGAATTGTTCTTTCGACATTATTTATTATTTCCAAATCCAAAATAATATCTTTACAACATTCTGAACCGTATACTATTTCAACTTCGCGAGTCATTTCTTGTAATTTATCACTTTTTTGAAACTTATTGTCATCCATTTAATTAAAAATTATAACGATTTACTTGTTGTATTTGTTAATTTTGTCAGCGAAGATTTTTTTAGATTATCAAATGCGATTTTCGTGTAACAAAAATATAAGCTCGATTTTTAAATCTAGATTTTATTATTATATTTTTACAATAAGCAATTACATAATAATATCATGGTAAATTGAACTTTAACGCTAGTATTATTCCTTTTCCCCTTAATAACTAATAATTTAATTAACCTTCGGCGCGATATAGCCATTTTTGTCTTTTATTAATGGGCAAAATACCATTCAAAACATTCATTTCCACTTTATTAGATTTGCTTCCCCATAGCCTTGCTGGATATTTCCTTTTTTTCTCAATAAAATTATTCCAATAATATTCGTTTTCAATAATTGGTATTCCATTTGCAATAATTGAATTCATCAATTGACCACATTCTCCACAAAAAAGCTTTGGTTCGCCATTACTATTATCTCGTAAACTGGTTTTTTCACCACAATGTGAACAAGTTTTTGCTCTTGTAGTTGGAGCACGTTCTGTGGTGGTAATAGGTGTAGCAGCAGCAGCAGAAGTAGAAGACATCGCTGTTGATGATATATGTGACAATTTATCATTTTGGGTTTGATTATCTTTTGTTGATTTATTTTGAATGGATAAATTTGTATTTGAGTTTTGAATAGATGTGAAGAGATGTTTATTTGCCAATGATGAGGTATTAGTTGTTTGTTGTTTACTAACATTTGATGAGGTTTTAATTTTTGTCGATTTTGAATTACGTGAATTTGATGTGCTTGATGGTCCAATATTCTAATAATATTAATGATTGATATTGGTATTTATTTATTTATTATTTGATTGAAATAATTATCATAGACATAAAAGCTTACTCTTTTATGTGAACCTGGAATATTTTCTTTTTTAATAATTGATCCAACGTTATCTTTTTTAGAAGGAACATTTGCCTCCTTTTTATTCAAATTGTTTGATTCTGTAAATGCTAGTTAAATTAGAATAGCAATAATTTTTTGGACATTAAACTCAACTGGCTATTGCAAGATTTATAGTTTATGAGAAATTATATATATAATATATATATAGTACAAACCATTGCTAAAGCTTTCCTTTCGTATATGCTTTTTATGTGTGTAAAGATTTTTTTCTGTGACAATGAGCTTATCTTCATCTGTATTGTATGTATTATCTGACTCATGATTATTGTCACTACCAATAATTCCTGTTGATGCTGATGACACCAAGACATCCTCATTACGAAGCCATTTGAAAGTTGTTGGGATACATCCTTTTTCAAAGTATTGAGTTGCCAGTTCTACCGCTTTATCTTTTAAAAATTTTTCAGCATTTATTCCTTCTTTATACTCAGTATATGGAGGAAGGTTTGGATCAAACGGCCTTTGATCTTTTTCAGCCACAACAGAATAAGAGCCATCCTCAAAATAACAAACTAGATTTTCTCCTTCACCAGGATATTGCACATCATAGTCCATTTTTTGTTTAAAAATTTCTATCTCCTTGTTTGGAACTACCTTTGAGAATGTCAAAAACCATTTTTTTTTTTTAAATTAATTTTCTTTTTTAGAGGATGTTAATGTCAAATCACAAATGCCCTAAAACTAACCAAAGCTGGCCACCAATAAGAAGCTGAGGGATCATCAGGATCAACAAATACAACTTTTTTTCTCATATATTTTGGTTCTATTACGCGTTTATGAGCAAATTTGCTTTCCATTTTTAATTACAAAAATTTACTTTATATTTTTGTTCAAAGTTGAGATCTAATTATTATTTATTATTATTATTATTTACAGGACATTTGTCACTCATATAAAATTTTAGTGATCGACATACATTGAAATAATGAAAAAACCAATTTGAAATGTTACATTAATTTTTTATATTGTGCAACGTAACTTGGCAAACATCCTGGCAATAAAAAGTAAGTGATAAACTGGATCTTCCATTGTAGGATTTTTTCTCCTCTACACCAGAATACGTCTAACTCGCTATTATTTAACCTTTTGCAAATTGACGTTTTCAAATATATTCCCGATGTGGGATTTTTTTAAGTGAATAAATTTTTGTATTTTTTTTTCGGTCACAGGGGCGTGGTAAGAGTTTTCCATTTTATGTGATACAAACTATTGTTGAAAGATTTACAGAAAAAAAATAAATGGATCAAGAGACAGCAAAGGCATTGTTCGAAAAAGGAGCCTTTTTATTATTTTTAAATGCTCCAAAATGTCTAGAGGTCCGTAAGTTATTTTCGATTGTTGTTATTTAGATGAACATTATAACAATAATAAATCTAAGATTACAATTTTAATTATTAAAGTTTGGTATTGATCATAATTCATGGAAAACAGGCCCAAAGTTTATGGGAGTAAAACTTATTCCTCCTGGTTTACATTTTGTTTATTACAGGTAGTTTAGCTGTTCTCCTTTTCAATACTTAATTATTACTATAGATTAAATTTAAGTTGTTACTAGTTTACCAAATGATATAAAAGTTACGAAATTTGAAAATTTTTTATATGCCTATGTTAATTATGTTTTATGTACAATTATTTCAAAATAAAACTTGATCATTCATATATATTTTTTCACTAACATTAATTTATTTTATATCTTTAGTACATCTGACAAGTCGGGAAGTTCTGGATTAAGATCTGGGTTTTTTAAATTTTATGAATATAAAGAGGTAGATATTTGCAAATTGTTTTAATTTATGAGAACAATTAACATTCCAATTATATTTTTAAATAATTTGATTGGATTTAATAATTAATTGATAGGTTTTTATTGTAGAATGGGATTATATCATAGAAGACATTAAATTTGAAGATGAACTTGATAACGATCAAAATGAAAGATTAAAATCAGGTGATTTATCTGGTTAACAAATTAATTAGCCAATTAATTAATAATTTGACTGATAGATCAATCAATCAATCAACTGATCAACCGATCAATATTATTATTAAATATTAGATATGCGACAATTTGATGAGTATTTAGGAGCATATCCTCTTGTGCCGCCAACAAATTGGCAAAAATGGAGAAATTTAACAAACTATATCACACCTCGACTTATTTCTATGATACTGACAAATAAAGGGAGAGTCACTAATACTGCATCATCAACTGTTGACGAAGAAGAATTACAGCAAATTGATAATATTTCACGATTTGAAAAAGAAAATGATAAAATATTATTTACAAAAATAGATTTTAAAAGAAGTTGGAGGCCTGGTGCAGTTGGAATGGAAGTGACTAAATATAGTCAGGATAAAAGTTGGTTGTTAATTAACCTTTTACAAAAAGTTTATAATAATGGTGAGATATAGCTATTATTGATCTTTTTTAATTATAAACTTGGTTTTTTTTATTTAAATGACTAAACATTAATATATACGTTTATATATGTGTGTGTGTGTGTGTGTGTGTGTGTGTGTGTGTGTGTGTGTGTGTGTATGTATGTTTAAAAGATTATAAAGAAGTTTTGGGAGAACTTCAACTTTCTTTTGTTTGTCTACTTATGGCACAAAATTATGCAGGACTTATTCAATGGAAAAACATTGTACAATTGATTTGTTCATCCAAGGAGGCACTTGAAACTTATGCCGAAACATTTTATAATGAATTTTTTGGTAATAAATGAATATATAAATACAAGTATATATATATTACCAATAGCTAATATTTTTAATTTATTTGTTTTTGGGACAAATTAGATGTAATTCAATTTCAACTTGAAGAATGTCCAAATGATTTTTTTGAAGATTTGACATATGAAAACAATTTTTTAATTCACGCTATTAAGGTTTTAATAACATTTCTTTAAATATTAAATTTTTTTTTTTTAAAAAACTTAATAACCATCATTAATTTCTTTATTTTATTTATTTATTTTTCTTAAAAAAATTATATATGTATAATAATTAGACATTGCATTCTAACATTATTGATATAGCAAATACCATGGAATTAAATTCATTACAAAGGCCAAAAAAACTCCATGCATTAAAAAGACGTTTGGAAAAATTTAGAGGATTTGTTAATAAAAAATTTAATTGGGATATAGTTAAATATAAAAACGAGGGTGGGATTGAGTATGAAAATTATGAAGAGTATACCGAGGAAGGAGAGTATGCACCAGTAGTAGTGGAACTACCATAATATAAATATTAGCATTTTATTTTACAAAATATATAGATATAATTGATTATTTGAACATTACTTTTTTTTAATGTTATTTATATTATTATCATTTCTGCTTTCTATTATATATAAATAACTAGTCATTTATAAATGTATTTCCATTTATAACATCAAACAAAGTCACAATTGTATATTATAGTTATGAATGTAGTTTTCGTGATGATTTTGAATGTGATAAGCAAACATTAGTATTAATAATCTGCTAACACTGTTTTAAATTCCTTTACCATCCAATAATTGTCACCAGTATTTGCTTCAGAATACCTTTAGTGAACCAGATTATGATAAAAAATTACTATGATATAACCCGAAATGACACAATCGGGATTGCGAAATTGGCCAAGTAATATAAAAAAATATAAACGAATGAAATAAATCGCCACAAGTGAATAAAGGAACTTTATAAAAGCCTTTATAGTTAGTTACCTGGTACCATTAAATATGCTTACAGATTCGCCATAGCTTCCCAGGTACAAGAAAGAGACAGTAATCGAGAACCAAAGCAAATAAATTCATAAGCTTTTTAATTGACGAGTACTGAATTATTGTGAATTAACTGACAAGAGTAGATAGCCCAAAAAACATGCCATACATGTTAAATAATAGGCGTTTAACTGAAATGTTGTCTTGAAATATCACCGTTTAACAAGAATTAAAAAAACTGTAAAACATTATCATTCCAAATATTGTACATATAATGGATAATTTGTAGTGGAAATTCATCAATTCTTTCTTTTATTATTAAATCTATCTAATAACTCTTACTTAAAGATTTGACCAGAAACATAACTTGTCCATTCCGCAGGCTATTCATTCATTCGAAAAATATGTTAATACTAATTTGCCCAGTATAGCGGTTGTGGCACAATTTCAAATTTTTTTTGGGTAACCTCTTTGAATAATTCTGTAGCTAGAGAGACCTAACTATAGGCTCCTCCAAAAAAATAACAAAGATAACGTCCAGTCTAACCATCTAATCTAAAAATCTTTATATAAAGTGTGTGAATGATTTTAAAGCAACTTGGACGAAAAACTAATTAGTTGATCTCATGTCAAGAGTTGAATATAAGTTGGTGAAAGTTGTAGCATTATGATTACCTTGAATCAACTAGCATCTTTCGTAAAAAAGAATAAAGTATATAAACTTTTTCTTCCATATGGTACAAGAAATGTTTATAATTATGATTATTAAAGGAACTTTAGAATGTTAATATTAATATTGTGAGGTCGGAGTAGAGATTGTCACCGTTAATATTGACCAGTTAACGCGACTAAAGTCGATCATCATACTAATTTTTTTTTTTTAATAAATTTTTAATAATAATAATGATCGCGTTAAATTGTAAATATTTGATTATGCATTATTTTAGATAAATAAACGTGGTTTCAAGACAATAAAAAAAAAAATGATGATGGCCGCGTAACAATTCTTTCTGATCATTTACCATAGATCCCTTTTTTTTGGAAAGAAAAATTTTTAATTTTTATATACAATAAATATCCGACCATCTGACGATCATTTTAATAATTGGGAAACTTATACCTCACGCAGTTCAAAATTTTATTAATCAAACCGGGACTGGTGCATTAAGTAAACATGTTTTTAAAGTCAATTTGAATATAAACTTAAAGTTTCGTCGAGTTTGCATTATTAATAAATTTAGGATGAAAATTTTAAATTAGGCAAAAAATTTCGTGGTTTTTATGAAAACTTTGAGCTTAGTAAAAAGGTTCAAAACTCTGTTGAATCATGAATTATGTCATTAAGTAAGTCCACTTAAAATACCTTGAATTATAAATGGTTAAAATTTGAGAAAATTTGATCAAGTATAGACAACGAAACGTAAAGCCTTAAAATTTGCATTTTGTCAACTTTATTAAGTGTTTTATATGATAAAATTACGGGGTGGTCGGATACTTTTTTAAACCCTTTTCATAAACTAATTTATGCTGACACCGTATTGTAAATATATGTAATCTGTTATGTTAAACACGTTTTATTAAGGTAATAATATACATTACAACAAAAAAATTTGACCTTTTATTACATGTAAAAATTCAATCGGAAATTTTCTTTTTTGGATGATTTGTTAAATATTTCCATTAATACCATACCGAACTGTTTGAAATTTTCGTAATATAGAGTTTTGATATCAAATATGAGTTTACTTAGTATAGCAGAAAAGGTTTTATTTAAGAAAACGTACTTTATTTAGCAAGTATTTTTTCATTTGACGTTACACAGCACAAGTGGTCGGATATTTTTTGTAGGGGAGTGTATTACTATTCCATCCATTACTGAAAGTCATCTGGTGTTCATAATTCTTTTTGGATATTTGAATATTCAAAAAAGACGATTGATTGATGAACGGAAGCACTACCCCGCCCGACGTATCTAATTACTATATTAATATAAAAATTCCTTGATTGATAAATGAATGATCCGCGAATTAAAAATACATTTGTATAGTCAGTCAGTCAAAAAAAACTAGTGTCTTGTGATAAAATCATTAATATTCCTTACTAAGTGCAGAGAGTAGTCATATGATTCTCCCCAGTATCAACGAAATTAAAATTTTGATTAACTTTACTATTACATAATTGAAGAAAAAAATGGGGTTTAAACTAATAAAAATTTGACTTTAAAAAGAAAAAAATTATAAGCAAGCCTGCGATTTTATTTTATATCAATATTTTAAAGAAGACTTGGAATAAGACTATAATCCTTTATTAGTTTTTTTCTTGGAATCAACTATTGAAACCAAACAAAGACAGACATATAAATATAGAAGATTTTTTTTAAAAATAAAAAATCTGAAGCTCATTAACCTCAAAGATATTGAATGAAAATTCCCACTTGTCCTTAATACTATGCCAGCTACTATTAACATCAACCCTAGTGGCTTGACGCAGAATTCATCTAAAGAACAAAATTATAACAATTCGTTACAAAAAACTTCAAGATATTAATATGACAATTATTAATGTTTCAATGGATTCCAAGCAATATTCCAATAAATTTAATTGTATACTTAATATTTATATATTCGTAGCACATAAAAAAACTTATCTATATTTGTGACAGGGAAAAAAGTAACTGTACCTAATTTTCCTAAATTAATAAATTTTTTTTTTAATGAATTCTTGTTTGAAAAGATTATTTTTTTCTTTCTTTTCTTCTAGTTAATTTAATTAAAACATAAACAAATATAAATAAATATTATATACAAAATTTATTGGAAAAAATAAAAAATAAAAACACTGATATAATATAATTCTTTTCGTTATATAAATACATATTTATATACTAATAATACATTACATATATTCCTTATTTTGTATGCACATAGATCGTACATATTCACGAATAATACTTGCTAATTCTGGCATTTTCTTTAGAAAAGTATCGTCTCATATTAAAAATAATCAATAAAAAAAATAAAAAAATGTTAAAAGGAGCAAATTTATTGAGAAGAAAGTCTGGTTCACGAAAAATTGTAAAGAATTCAAAGAAATTTGATTTGAAAGATTTAGCGGAAAGTGTCTCGATAGAGGGTACCGCATTAATAGTTGAAAGATGTGTTAACCAAATTAGTTTAAGAGGTTGTTAATTAGTTCACTAACCGATTAATCATTTTTTTTCTTCATATATTTTATATATATTAATATTTAAAAATTTTTTTTGCTATCATAGGTTTATATACAGTTGATATTTTTAGACCAACAAGAATTGGAGAAGGAGGAGACGAGACAAAATATTTACTACATTGTTTATTACATGGTAATCAAACTGAATTTGAAGATGAAATACAAACACAAAGCATTCATAATGTTGTAGCAGCAATGAAATGGACACTTCGACATTGTTCAGTAACAATAGTTCCATACTATTACTACGAAGAGTTTACGATACATGAGCAAGAATCAAATTATGAAATCACCACCACCACCAACACTAATAATAATAAATCTTCTTCATGTTGTTTATTTACAAAATCATTTCTAAAAAATTTACCGAGATTAAATCAAGAAATAGTAGTGCAATTATTTGATATATGTGCAAAAGTAACAATTGAATCAGAGACAAATAAAATGTCAGCTCATAAGATAGTCAAGTCGTTGGCATTGAGTTTGTTGGGGGATCAGAAAAGGATTTTTGGAAGTTTTGATGAAGCGTATACTGAATGGACAAAATGTTCTAATGCTTGTTTACACTTGTTTTTGGCGTATCTAAGAGAGAAATCTTTAGAGTGTGAATTACATCCTAAACTATCAATTTTATTAGAAAATTATGTTGAAAATAGAAAGAAATCAGTAAGTACTTTGAGATTTGTTGATAATAATAATATTAGCGGAAGTGATGGCGATAATGACGAAAATAATAAAATAATAAATAAGCAATCATCACCTACAGCATCTGGTAGAAAAAAATCTGTTGTACACTTTGCAAAAGATTATAGACCAATCAGTGTATTGAGAGTGACTAGATCGATACCACCTAAAAAAGAGGAACCCCTTCCTCCTTCAACAAACCATATTAGTGGTAATAATAATAGCAATGGTAATGGCATTATTATCGGTAACAATAGTAGTAGTAGTAGTAATAATAATAATGATAGAAAATCCAAAGTGGTGAGTATAATATTACCAGAAGTTATGGATAATCTAAAAAGACGTACGATAGTAAGGCCAAGTGAATTGATGTCTAAAGATGAACAACGTACGGCTGAACAAATGTGGGAAGAATTTCAAAGTCATGGAATAGCAGCTATCTCTGACGAGTTCTTGAAAATATTTTTTTCGTTAGACGAACGAGCAATTAATAATCTTCATAATTATAATCACAGCAATAATATAGACATATTTAAAACACCAATTGAAAAAAATTGGTGGGATTTTTCTAGGAAAGGGTTTAAAAGTTTTTATTTGGAACCTCCTGTACCCAAATCACCAACGTCACCGACATCATCAACTTCGTCATCTAATAATCAAAATGTTGATAATGTTGATAAAAATATAAAAAAGAAAAAATCAAATAATTTATCACTTCCTAGACCAAAAACTGTTGCATGGGAAGATTTTAGTGAGAAAGGATTTGGTGATCCGTTGGATAATATGCTGGAAGTGTTAACAATAAGCTCACCAACCTTAAAATCACCAACGATCATGACAAATTCGGATACATTAATTGCCGATGATGATAATGATATCCGCGGTATTGAAAAGTCATATAACGGTAAATTTAATAACAAGAAATCATTGCTGCCTAAATTTCGCGCATTAAAGAAAAGATCATCATATAGCAAATCTATTTCAAAGATAGATGAACTTGAAAAGGTTGTAGAGGAGGAGGAGGATTGGGAGGATTGGTATATTATAGATGCTGAGGAAGACTTCCCGGTGACCACACATTTGGCCATTGAATCGATTGATGAAATATTTCCGTATGTCTGGATTGAAGCGATTGACGATGAGGCGAAGGATGGGGAGGAGAATAGATGGGGAGAATGGATTTTTGTTGAGCCAAAGAAAGGTTTGGTGCAAGAGTGTGAGTGGATAATGATTGAAGAGAAGGAGCAGGATATCAAGGCGTGGAAACAATCACGTCGTAACTACAGGAATCGTAAAACTGGTACATTTAGTAGTTTTAGTATACCATGGGTTAATAAAAATAATAGATCAAGTAAATATGATGGTAGTAATAATGATAGTAATAGCAAAATAAAAAGATCTTCAAGTGTTCCGCCGCCAAACACGACATCAGCATTATTAGGCGGTGCTAATAAAACTGGTGTTGGCATTGATGTCAGTAATGGTGGTGAAAATAGACGACTTACATATTATGAAGATGATAACGGTAAACGAAGAAAAAAACGACTTTCCAAAAAGATTATAAGTCCACCGATTCCATTAGATTATAACACTTCACGATGGTCAAGAAAAATTGAAAATGATGAAATTATTAATATGAATAATGATAACGACGAGACTTACAATAATGATGGTGATGGCAATTATAATCATGATGATAATATATTTCCTACTCGATATGAATCAACAGGAAAATATAGTAATGAGGAAGAAGAAATTGATTATAATAATAATCGAGGAAGTAGTTATCAAAGAACTTTAAGTGGTGGTGGCGAAGGGTTAGAAAATTTTGGAAGTGATTATTATCACAAAACAACAAATGATGATGGTGATGATTATAATCAAGAGACATCATATGGAAAAAGAGATTCTGATGATTTGGGTGATCATTATGGGGAAAATTTAGGAAATAATTATCAAGATAGTAATTATCAAGAAAATTATCAGGAAGGTTATCGACAAAGTGGATACCAAGAACTTTTTAATAATGATAATGATAATGATGATAATAGCAGCACTAGTAATTATGGTATTGAAGAAGATGATGTTGGTGAATATAGCGAAGATTTAAATAATAATAATGAAAATGTCGTTGAAGATGAAAATAACATTAACCGGCAAAATGAACATTTACAGCAGCGACAATTGGATGATAATAATGATGATAATGTAAATTCTGATGAAGTGATAAGATTTGATTATATATAATATAGATAGATGTATAAATATTTATTTTTTTAGATCCGGTTCCATTCTTTTCGTTCCGGATTTGTAATTTTTGAAGATTTTTTAGATTTCTTAATTTTTCTTATAATTAAAGATATATATATATATATATAATATATTAATATAAATTTTGTATATAAATTTAATTAATTAAATAATTATTTATTTATTATTCAGATTATATATAGTTATTAAAAATATTATAATTAAACGTGCAAAAAAAAAAAAGAAAATACAAATATTAAATAATATGTAATTTAAAGCAAAATCGTCCCGTTTTTCCATCAATTCAATTAATAACCCACATTTCTCCAACCAAGAGCATAAGACAAGATGAAAATTGTTAAAAGTATAGCTAGTTGAACAGGACCAAAAATCACACGAAGAATCACATTATCAACGATCAACTCGATTCCAACCCAAATTATCGCGAAGCAAACGAAAATCCATGCTAATATTTCAACAGCAAGGCCTGAACCTCTACCCAAAGTATTCATCACTAATGCCGCAAGTAATCCTAATAATAAATCGCGAGCAATTCTTGATGCACGTCGTGGTCCTTTATTCTATTTATTTATAAAAAGAAAGGTCGAAATAAATATGTATTTTGTGTATTGTTTAGTAAAATAAACACTTTTCATTTATGATGATATTTACCAAACGACCTAAAAAGCCACCACGACCTTGGCGATTGTGATCACCTCTATTGATATTAGTAGTAGTATCTCCATCAGCAGTGGTGGTAGTATCTTTATGAACATCTGTATGAGTCGGTCTTTTAGTTATCCAATCTACAAGTCTAAAAATAATAATTATAAAATGTTTGCATAGTAATAGGTGTATAAAAAATACAACCCGATTTAAATTCTATAGAAGCTTACAATAACAAAGCCCAAACAATCCATAGAACCCAGAATGCTATCCAGGTAGAACGTACAGAATTAGCTGAAACGAAAGAATCTAAACTATTGCCCGTTCCATCATTTGGTTGAGATTGTCGTGGAAGAAGTACATCACTTATGGCAACCATATTTATAATTTTATTTTCTATTTTTTGCTAAGAATTTATTTTGTATTTTCACAAAGAAATTAATTATGTTTCGGAAAAAAAAAAGCGTTGAAGAGAAAAAAATATTTATGCGCGTGAGAACGTTTTATACCTATTTTTTTTTATAATCATATTCACTAACTAACTGACTAACGCTAAACCCAACCCTTTCAATATGTCATAGTGACATTTACTAGAATAACAAAGCAAAGTAAAATAAAATGAGTTAAATAAATTAAGAATAATCGTAATCCTTTCTCTCTAGATAATTCCGTTAACTTTGCCCGCATACATATTCACGAGAAGATTTCCCTATTTGTTCTATATGTTGTCCCATGGAATTAGTAGCTTTTGGTTAGTGATTCCCTGTTTGTGACATCATATCTATTCAATCATGTAAAAAATCTGGATTTTAGGACCCAAATTCTTAATGCTTCGTCATTAACCGCTAATGTTTCTACTATGTGTAATAGTAAATCCTTTCCAATATTATTATATGGGGGCAAGAAAATTACGTATGTAGTATGTGTAACATAATTATTAATTCTATAAATTTTTTTTAATCTAAAAAAATTTATACAAATACAAAAAAGAAAAAAAATAATAATAATAAAAATGGTTAAAGTTGAAGAAGTAGGCTTTCTTGTAAAACAAATACTCGTTAAAATCAACATCAATAATTATTATTAAAAATTCATTTGTTATTATTACTTTACAAAAAACAATATAGGTAGATGATGATCATGAAGATTTTTCAGATGAAGAGGAAATTGATGATTCAGATGAATCAGGGGATGACGATGATGATGAATCAGGGGATGACGATGATGAGTATGACGAATCGATATTTGAACGTATAATAGCATTACGAGATATAATACCTGCGGAGACGCGTGAATCTATCTCGAATAATATTTCAACGGTTTTGCGTTTTGGAGCCAGAAGTGCAAAATTTTTAGGAAATACATTTTGGGTGGTAACAACATCGGCATTGCTTTTAATCATGCCTTTAGCATTTGAGATCGAACGTGAAAATTTCCTTACTCAAATGGAAGCTGATCAGGTAATATAATGACTTTGGAGAATAAATAGTTGGATGATAATAATAGGATGTTAATTGAATGTTGAATATATATGATGATGATGATGATGATAATAATAATATATTCACTAACGCATCAATATTATTAGATGAGCGGACAGCCAGGATTATCACCGTCACCATATGGACAGCCAGGATTACATCCACAACAACATGCATTAGGATCATTTCAATCATCATCGCCATCATCAGAACAATCTCAACAACAAAATTAATTAGTTTCTTTAACAATCGTTATAATTATAATATTATTAATATCATTAATATTATAGTTATCTAAAAAATGAAATTATTTGATCAATAACATTTTATTAATAATAATAACAATAATAATAATAACATTATTAATATCCGTAATAATGATTATTAATTTATTAACTATTAACATTAATACTTCAAAAAATCAATAAAATCAATAAAATTAATACGAATATATATACATAATATTATCACTGTTACTATATACTCTCGCCTCACTTCTCCTACTCTTCTTACTACCATTATTCTATTTTATCATCGTTTAATTTTTTATTATTCAACCAACCAATTACAAGCTCATAAGCAAAGAAAGTGACAGCATTAACAGGCCAAGCTCTAACAAGTGTGGTGGACATTCCTTTGAAAAAAACTTTTGCACCTTCTTCACGGTATGATTTAATTGCACAATCAATAATACCTGAATAATAATTTTGCTGTTGTGTTTGTAGTCTGGTTTTTATCACGTCTGTGGAAAATAGATGGAAGAAAGGAATGCACAGTAAGAAAAATATCATATTATTTATCATCATTTATTATTTATTATTCGTCATTCTGATAATTTATTATTTGCTAACCCAAAGGATAGATACTAGCCCAAGAAAGCAGACCAGCGGTACCACCAGCAAATAAGAGTTTAAGAACATTATTTCTATCAGAATTGCTATCAGATGACGTCACTTCTAATACACGTTTTAATCCTTCATATGCCCTTAGAAATATGGTGAAATAAATTAAAATCTAAAAATATTACAATTATATCCGTAATATTGAAATTAATATAGTATTTTACCAGAAATAAACACCGTATCCTGGAGCATCACGAATTATTGTAACCAATCCTCCTTTATAAAGTCCTATCATATACAATAACAATAACAACAACAATAATTTAATTATTAGTATAAATTATTACTGTAATGATTATTTGCTATCAATTACCAACCACTAATTCCTTGAGTCAAGATTGTTTCTTTGAAAATTCTCCATGTGTTAGATTTTAATAAAAATGACGATAATCTCCTTTCCCCAACTCTTACAGCACCATATTGGAATGGCTGTCGTAAATAATTTGTAGTGATGGCAATTTGTGCTCTACATTTTACCAGTTCAGTTGGAGTGCTGACTAAAAAACATGCAATACCAGCACCAAATCCTGCGATATAAACTTGTGTTAATGTAGGAGGAGCAAAATTGGACGATGATGACGATGACGGCGACGACGACGATGATGAAAGAATTGTAGAGAATAATGATCTTGCATTATCATGGATAATATCATGGTTATAATCATATCTTTGCAATAGACGTATTATCCCGCCATAAGAGGCAAATAGTATTGAATTTAAAAATGCCAGACCTACAATTGGAGAACCCAATCCTTTAAATAAAGAACTAATCTTATATGTACATTATATATGTATGCATGTGTTCAATAATGTACTATACGAGTATGTATATATATTTATATATTATCGTAAGATTTGTCATTTCGCTTTTGATTTGCAGTTAACTTACCCCTTCTAATTGTTTCATTCTCATCAAAGTTTCAATAATTGATGATGACGACGATGATGACGATCTCAGATTATTATTGTTAATATTATCATTGTTATTATGGACTTGTAACCGAACCTATACAATATAACATTACAAATAATATTATAAATAATCTATCATGCTTGCAAACTAAAATACAAACGCTGGCTGGACATTACCTTCAAGACATCAAAAGGACTACCAACAATTATTCCAGCAATTCCACCTATATATCCTAATATTTATCATATTACTACTAATACTATATATTATACAGTTTATGTATATAAAATATAATTGTAAAAAATACCTGCTATAAAATCATTTAAACTTTCGGCTATGACATAATTAAATTATAATTGTTATACATCATTATTATGATGAATAAGTTTTTCACACACTGATAACATTAAAGTATAATTTTAAATAATTACCCATTTTGGTATTAAAACACGGATAATTTTTTAAAGAAATAAAACTTTATTTTTTGGAGGAAAAAACAGTTAGAACAATGCAAGTTATGGGGCAACAAAAACCACTAAATTTCAGGGGTAAGGGTCCTAAAAGCAGTCAGGGAATATACCAAATTTGGAATTTCTAAATACTGTAATGACCGATAATACAGATTCTGAGCTATTTTTATAAAGGTAAGAGGGTTTCTTGAAAAATTGCTTTGGGTACATCAGTTAGGGTTTGGCACGTAACACGAATGAATTAAATGATCGTACGACTTTTGCAAATAATAGTAATAGTTTTCAGTTTTTTCATTTTAATCTCTAATAAATAAAATATCCTTTTGTCCACTTAAATATATATATACACAACAACATAAGAACATGTAATAATCCAAATTTTTATGCAGCAAAATGAATATCAGGTTCTGATATTATTGAAACTATGGTAGCAATAGAGCCAAATAAAAAATGAATGAATGTAAATGAATACAATGAATTACTATCCATATTTTTATGGGAATAATTATAAAGATTATGCTAATAAAGATGATTCTAGGAAATAATTAGCTTCTATTGCGCTTTCAATATATTTCTCCACGTGGTTTCAACTGATCCTTTGAATAAGTACTAGAAGATGATCTTGATGTTTTTATCCACTATATTATACATAGGTCAAAAAAGAGAAATGACCAACGAATTTGAACTCCTTGGTACATAATTTCCTTAAATTAAGTAAAAGCATACTTTGAGGAAATTAACAGGTTTTCAACAGATTATGAGAGGGAAAGGTTCAATAGGCAGCAAGTATGAATTAATTGACCAACAAGGAGTTTTTGTATTTCCTGACTGTGATTGTTCGATCATACCCGTAGACTTTTTTCTATGATGTGTGTTACAAACAAAACACAAGACACATGATTACCTATTAATTAAAGAGAAAGAAGCTCAAACTCAAAAGTTAAAGCACCAAATTCAACAAACCCAATTATATCAAACAAATAAAACAGCCAGCATCTTTAGGATATGTGTAACAATATTGCAGAAAACAATCAATTATCTCTTGAATAGAATTTTTATTTTCTTTTAGTAATAAATCTATTTTTCCCCAGATAACAAATATAATTTCAAACACTTATTCGTCAGGACTGCGAAAACATTACATCTTTCTTAGTGGAAACCAAAATAAAAATGAAGTAGGTGGTGCTATTACTTGTCAATATTATAATTAAATGACGATGGCCTTACCTTTATGATAACACATTAAATGGTTATTTTATTTTACTTGTTGAATGACCCTTTACCCGTCCTCGTTAAGAGTCTTTACTATATTAGTTCTGGGTTTATTGAGAATATATATTAGACCCATTGGACAAAACCAGCTTGTGACATTATTATAAAAATATTTTTATAATTGTTCAATCATCATCTAAATAAAGTAATATCCCCTTTGATATTGAATAGGAAACCGTTTCAGAAGAAACATCGAAACAAAACCTTATCAACTAAACTTTTATTGAATTTGAATTTGGATTAGATAAAGTTAAAAATTAATAACATTCGTTAATGATTGATTGATCACATTATTTAATATTAAAACATTCGGACAAATTTTGACCTAAAATCCCTGCGGCCGCAATTAGATTTATGATTTGTTACGACAACAATAATATTAAATCATTTTAACCAAATATTTTGTTCATCATCTTAAATAATGAATTATATAAATGGTAATAAAGAAAGAACGGAGAACGGAGAAGGAAGATAGACAATAATAATAAAGAGAAAAATGATAGGGAATAAAGAAACAAGAAATTGAACAGGAGAATGGAACGAACAATTTTTAGATGGAAATGTTTTTTTTTGTGGCTTTTGAATATGCAGATAATAATATATAATAACAATTTTGAATATTTGATTTGTTACGAGTTATTAATAAATTAAAAATTGGCTCAGGCTAGACTAAAAGAGTTAGTAATAAAACTTGTGGATTATTCAGTTTAGTGTGAAACTTATGATTTGTAATTGTGTAAGATATGGAGAGAGAAAGATATTAATTAACATGAGCATTGACCACCAAAATTACATATTTGATGACGAAAGTGTGATTATCATCCTGTATATATTGGCAAAAGTATATTGGTAATTGGAGGATATTATTTTCTAAATATGTATATTATGCATAAATAAATACAATAGAAAATCCAGTTTTTAACCAAAAAAGAATGGGTTAAACAGTTCGGTGAGTGGAAGTTTTTGAATGAATGGGTAAATGAAGAGTGAATGTGAATTTGAGAGATTAATACGCATACACACGCACATAGAGATACACACATACACATACTGACTGTACTTGCTCGTATATGGAATTAAATTATATGCGGTGCGGGAGAAAAAAATATATAATCAATGTTATTTAATTGGTTGATAATTAGTCAAGAAAGCAAACTTAATTTGAAAAGATAATATTCGTAGAATTCAAAACCCCATAAAAAATTATTATTCTTGACATCCCCAAAATTTATCCCCAATTTATTATTATTATTTTCCATAATTAATTAATTAATTGCATCAAATGTGAAATTAGCAAAAGGTTTTAAATTTTTTCTTGATTTCTTTCATACACAAATAAATCAGAAAATGTGTCAACAAAAATGTCATTTTTATTTTTCAATTTCGACGATTGTATCCGCATAGTATACATAAACAATCATTATTAATCTTAATGATAATATTAATGTTATTAGTATTATTAATATTGATATTATTAATATTTGATATTAATGGTGATGTTAAAATATGGAATGGAATTCTGTCAGAATTTATCTTCTTGAATTCCAATTCAAATTCCAAACATTAACAATAATAATAATAACTTGTTTGTAAATGATTGGGTATACTATATAATGAATATGTTAATAAATATAAACATTAAATATTGTAAATATTGAACATAAATATTAATTAATAAATAAAATTAACGTGTGACAATAAATAAAAATCTCTGATTTTCAAAAAAAACTCCTTTACTATTATTATTTAAACTCCGCCCACTTTTTTACCTTTCCTTTTATTACTACGGTAATAAATGTGATTGATTAATTTAATTTAAACTCCCAATTTTAAAAATCATTTCCCCATCATAATAAATAAATAGCTCACCCTACATTTTTCTATTCATTCATCATATAAATTAATATAGACAGATATAATATATACTATATTTATATAATAATATATTTATTTATTTATTTTTTGTGTAATAATTTTTTAAATAGTTTCGCAAGAAAAATACACTATATAAAATTAAAAACTGTTTATTTATAAAATATATATATACTATTTTACTCTCCCATTTTTATTTTATTTCAACCCTTTAAACTCTCTCTTAAATTCCTTCCTCTCTCTTCCATCCAATCACAACAATAAAAAAACAACTTGTCAAATAACTTACTTTATTATTATTAATATTATTAAGTTATATATTTTTGACAAGTTTTGTGTATAAAAACTTTTGTTGAATTATGAGTCATATGCCTACTGAAGACTCGGTAAGTTGTTTCCTTTCATTTTGTGCGAGTTTTAAGCGATTGGAAATCAAAAATATTTCAATAGAATTAGGTGATTAGGTGTCTAGAAATTTAGGAATTAGTTCCTTTTGTTTGTTCTCTTATCCTCGTCTCTTTCGCTCATTGTTATTTTTAGAAATAGATTTTATAGCCAATTCCATGTTTGGAAATTACAAAGAGTTTTGGATCATTTATTCTATCCATTATAACAAAATTATTATTATACCGTATTATGGGTCATTGTTTATACTTAAACTTATTACTACGCCAACGACTGTGTAAAATAATGCGCTAACATTTATTTTCTTTACACACAATCGTAACCATAATCATCATAACCATAGTAGTTATGATAATAAAAAATATAAATATATAGAAAGAAAAAAATGAGAAACTAATATGGGTTTTTTTAATTTTTTTTTAATTATATTATAGACAAAAGATAATACACTTGATTCAAAATCATCCAACGATATTCTATCTCAACTATATTCAATGTCCCCAGGTATTTGGATTATTAAATGTATTTCTATATATATCTATTTTTATACATTAAATATTAATATTTATCAAATATATCAAAAGCTACAGGAAAGAGTTCTTTTCTTGATCAGGTAAATATAGTTTCATGTAATATCATACCCTATTATTTATTTGATCTTTCTAATCACATTTATTTATTTATTCTTAGGTTAATTCTATTGACGATAAAGAAGTCTTGAGACATATGCTAATACAAAAAGAACAAGAAAGAGACGATATTGCTAATAATTTGGATATAGCTGCAAGATTAGGCTTAGCCATCTCAGAGAAAAACGAAGAACTTCAAGCAAAACTAGAAAGAGTAACTCAATCTGAAGCACAAGCTTATATGAAAGTAAGTATTTATATTCTTTTTGGTAAATTATTATATAAATAGTAATAGTTAAATAGTAGGTGGTGAATAAGCTAATATATATATATATATATATATATATATAATTATTCAACAACTAATTAATTAATTATTAATTAATCTATCTTTTATTCACATTGTTATTCGCCACTTCACTCCAATCAATCAATCATCATCATTATTAGCTATCAGCGTTGGAAGAAGAAAACAGGATATTGTTTTCTAAAGCATCTCGTTCTAACGAACTTGCCTCACAATTAGCCGCTAATGAAGAACAAGTAAAAGTTTTACGTGAACACAAGACATTTCTACAAAAAGAATTAGAAACTGCTAGAAGAGAGTTGAAAAGGTTTCGCAAAGAATTAGACAGTCTATCAGGCCAATTAAACGATATGGCTGAAGATATGTGGGAATCACGTAATAAAGTAAACACTTATGCAAAGAAATTAAGTGAGTATTGTTGGTAATGTGTTATTATAATTAGTGAAGGAAGATTGATTATAATAGCAATGATTATTATACATCAATCAAATATTTCCATGTATGCTAATAATAATAATAATAATAATAATTTAATAATAATAGTTGAGGTGGAACAACATCTTTCAGAAACTCAAGAAATGAATGTAAATCTTTCCATACAACTTGAAAAATCTGTAAGTTCACAAAAAATATCAAGCGCAACCACAACACAAATCGTCAAAATGATCCAAGCTGATCTAGGAAGAGTAAGTGTATTATAAGTTATATATATTTGAGTTGTATTAATATGTGATTACATTTATATTTATAATATAAGTCATGTATATCAGATAGTTATTACATACATTGCTTATATATATCTCACTCTCAAACTTAAATCTTTCTCTTCCTCCAAATTTCATATTTAGGTTGTACTCGAGAATGAGAATTTAAGAGCTAGTATTCATGAATTAGAAAATAGACAGGTGAAGTGTGAAGGGAAATTAAGTGAAATGATGGTATCAGCGCAGGAATATGCTCATTTATTAGAAGAAGCACAAGATACAATACACTCTCTAAGCGAAACCCGTCTTGAATCAGAAATTGAAACTTTGGAAATATCTCCCGGTAAAAGTCGTGGTAACTCGGATCAAGTTGTCAATCAGGTGAGATATTTGTCTGGATGGAAATATATATTTAGACATATTATGTTTATTACATATGTTTCACAATTCTATATTGATTAATTAATAAATTATTAACTAAATTTCTCTATTCTTCCTTCTTCATAATTAATAGGAAACACCACCAATGAAGCCATTCTCTAAAGAATTAGAACAACATTATATTTCACAAATGGCTCCAATTCGTGCTACGCATTTCAATAATAATAGCTCAGTAGATATGAAAAAAGCTGCTGCTGGTCTAAAATATTTATTATCAGCTCGTGAGGTAGAAGGTGGTAAAGATGGTGGTGGTAAAGGTAAAAGTCCGGAGAGAAGACCTTTTGGTGGTGGTTACGTTTTACATTCTTATAATGTTCGATAATCAACAATAATATATATATAATATAATATAATATAATATAATATAATACAATATTTATATTTATAAATTTAGATTTTTTATATATATTTCTATGTGTATTTGTAATTATTATTTATAAATAATAGATATACGCACATAGAGATATATGCATATAAATTTAAATATATAAATATAAGTATATTAGAACATTTCTTCTATCAAAAAATTTTTAAAGTTTTTATTTCAAGTTTTTTTTTACAATTCGGGTGGGTTTAAAAAAAAAAAAAATTAGCTAATTTAATTAAAAAAATTATTTATAATATATAATATAATAATATATAACGAACATTGATTATTATCATTATCATCATTCATCATTATTACATTCACATACACTTTTTTTTCAATTACAATTTACACCTTCCCTTTTAAAAAAAATTATTCTTTTAATCCTATTTTATTATAATTTAATTATTTTTAGTTCTATATCTTTTATTACAATATTATTTTTATCCAATCAATTTTATTATATTATCATCACTCTTCAATATCATAATTATTATAATAATGATTCTTTCTTTCTCATACAATCACATATATTTTTTTCATCATACTATCATTGTTATGTTATTATATTGGTATATTGGTATTAAAAAGGTTCATAATGACAATTTTTTCAAACATTAAACAACAATAAAAAGATCAAAGCGATCATGATAGTAAACTCTATAATTAAAGTTAATTTCATATATTTTGAATGAAAATTTTTTATTCGCTAAAATTAGATTTTAAGGTCACTTCTTCAACATTTTCCGCACCAAATAAATATACCTTGCTATTAAAAGCCGTTGAAAATTGCTTTACTCTTTTTTTAAAATCGAGTATGATGAATGTTATCCAAATATACTTTAAGAATATTTCTTTTCTCCGATCCTTCGTTTTGATTTATTCCCATTGGTTCACATAATTCTAAACATCTCCATTTAGAGAAATGATTTATAATCTAAAAGAAATTGAGGTTTTCAATATTTTGAAATCGTCAGATTCTAAAAATACTAGCAAAGTCTTCTAAACAATTGATACAGTATGAACGAAACTTGTCCATCTATCAATACTAGAGCAGATCAACTATGTTCTTGATGACGAAATTATAGTAAAAGTAAGTCATTCATTCCGCTCTTTTATTAATTGAATAATAATTCATCATTACAAAGTTTCAAGAAATTCGAAAATTTCTTCGGAAACTAAATAAAATTTCCATCGTAAATATATTAATAACTTTTGAAAAACTAAAAATATTGTTTAAAAAATAGATTTATTATTTGTATATTAAACTAAATTAATCTTAATTAAGATAACTTTATAATATTAAACCGAGTTCTATATCACTACCAGGATTAACGGTATATTTATTTGTCATGCACTATGTATTTTGTGGCAATCAAATGTTTGTATTAAAAAATCAATAATTAAAATGCTCTTCCGATCATTCTTATTCTTTCAAACGACCGTATCTTCCAACACATTAGCGTTTTTAAATGTTCGCAAAAGAGAAACTCTTTTGGCCGCGTAACACTTGACTAAACTGACCAAACTATTCAGTATTAGTCATATAAAGTCCCTTTACGCTGCTCTGGGGTATGATAATTACGCAGTCAACCGTATTAGTATTAGTATCAGATGTTTGTGTAATTTCGGAAATTCTTTCTGAACCAGGTATAATATTAATATTAATATTAATATAGTAATAGTAGTCGTGTGATATGTCACGCAAATCAATCGACACAATTTTATTCGAATAACAGATTTCTAGAATATATATTATAGGCAGGAAATTTTTTGGAGCAGGTTGTTAATAAAACCGAAAATAATTGGGGTTTGAACTTTTTCCGCCTTATATGAAAATTGTCAAGGGTATGTCACTTTGAGAAAAGACAACAATTACGTTATATAAATCGGCTGAAAACGCCAAGAATTAAACTATTTCCAATAAGGGCATGCATTCTTTCTTGATTGAGAATGACTTTGGATTAAGTGAAGTAAATGTATGTTAAGTGTTTCATATTTATATGTAACCAACAATTAGTTAGTTACGCTACATAACAATATGTAATCACATTAATTAAAAAGGATTTCAAAGGCAGTGTGATAGCTGCTTTAAAGATTGTGAATATTTTTACACATTATTTATTTATATACCTTATTATCATTGTTAGATTGGTAACTAAATTTTTTTTATATGATGCGGGAATTCTGTAATCACACAGCTCTAGAAAATTTGGCGCCAAATTTGAATCTTATGTAAGCAAATTTTTTGGTAAATTTTTTTTAATTATACCGAAAAAATATAATAAACCCAATAATGATTTAAAATAGTAATGGTTTACAACTGAATTAAATTACGCCTACGTGAGCTTGTCATAATAATGAGCAAGTTTTCAATCCTATTAAGCCTTTCTCCATAAACCTACATGCATTTTGCAAATTTATTGAGACCAATTATTCAAAGCGTTTGGGATAGTACCTTCACGAGCAAGCAGTAAGGTGAACTAGCTGTTTTAGGAAGTATATTTTGTCAGTTCAAAAATATTAATAAATTTTTGTTATACGTAGTGCCAGTAAAAATTAAAGATCTGCACTAATGATTCATAATTTTAGCCGAAAATTAGGCGTCAAATTTGGGTAAATTGCATAAACTTTAAATGACCAGTAAAATTTTTGGAAAAAGGGCTCTATTAGTTTGTTGCTTTTGCCTTTGAACTTTCATTAAATAGAAGGATCTTTAAATTTGAACCATTAGTTCGTGATTTCTATACTTTTTAGAAAGGTGATAAAAAGTTGTGATCATAGAGCTCCCGCACCATATATATATTTTTTAGGATAGTTATCTTTGCGCCTATTAATTGTATTAAACCTAATTCCTTGAGAATACATCAAATGTTCTATTAAACTTGGAGATTTAATTAATGCTTTTCCAATCCCTCAAGTTCATTGTGTTCTAACGATTGAATTTCATTTCTGGTTCATTTTCTATTGGAAGATATTCTTTACGAGTAAGCTTATTAATGACAGATTCATTAATCCCAATCGTTTTATGTATTTAAACAATGCAGGCACTTATACTTATGATGCTATCAAGCAAATGTTATGATAAATGTGGCCAACAACAGATAAAGGATATCACGTTTTTTGAAGCTATGTAATTCCACATTCAATTTACTAAAATACTTGTTTTAGAGATCAGATAAATAACACACAGACAGTTCCTTGTGAAAGAACGGAAAACTTGCGAATTTTTTGTTGACGAATCAATAATCATCATCAAACATTGCGTCATTTTAAAATTATGAACTCGACATATAAATATAACAAGATGATTTATAATTATAAGTGGTTTATCATGAATTAATTTGTTTTTGAAAATGCATATTAAATTTCTTTATTAATTAATAAATGTAAAATCCATGTAAAGAAAAAATACACACTATAGTCGGAACTCGTTAAACCGATGTACTTGTTTTGGACTCAAAGCATCGCTTTATTAAGCAGTCTTCGATAAAAATGAATTTTTTTAAAAAAATTCGGTTTAAAAAGTTACACATATATTCGTCTATATCACGTTGACAATTCTATATAATAAAACGCTTGCTTCTAACAATTTTAAAATAAGTATCAAGGCCTTTATTCGTTGGATTAGATTTCGATTGTTCTAGAACACATATTTCTCTTTTCCTTTTAATGTCAGTGTATTTTTCATTTCAACAGGAAACAATACGTAAATCATTTATAAAGTTATACAAAAAAAAGCGAAGTTTCTTTCGATAAACCGATATTGTTCGTCCTATCAAGTTATAATTTATTATATATATGTGGAACCATATGCAATAATCGTCTTAAACATTAAAGTGAATATTCGTCTTATTGAGTTGATTTTTATTATAAATGAATAGGTAAACTAGAAAAACTCCGTTATAACAAAAATTCATTTTATCGAGTCCCGACTGTATCTCACTTTTTAATCTCCTTTTTATTGGAATTTGAAATTCTGATTTATTCTATTATCCATAATTTTTTATGAATAACTTCTGAGTCAACTCTTTTTTAAATAAAATTTAGCCTTTTGTATATATGGAAGGGCTACATAAAAGTCAAAATCTCTACATAGTCTTTCTTCCAAATCGTTACTTCTTCTTCACACTTTTTATTATACCTTCCACATATATATACACTTTGTCTTCTAAACAATCCTGCTTGGATCTACATCAATAATATTGACACAGATAATATAACCTAGGTTTAATATTTACTTGTGACGCTTGCATCAGGTTGTATAAAGGCAGAGGCGCAGATTCTTCTTGATCCAATGGTGGTTGTGATTCTTACAAGAAACGCTTTCTTATAAAAGAAGGAAATAATAAAGTGCCTTATAAAAGGAGGAAATAATTAACGTCTTCCGACAAAGAAAAGAAAAAGTTGCATCTTGCCGTTATTACTATTACCATTACTATTACCATTACTATTACCATTACTATTACCATTACTATTACTATTAATTTAATTATGATTTTAATTTTTTTTCTTTGGTTTTTCTTTTCTTTTATGTTTCAAATAATATAGTGTGTAATGACAATTTACATTAACCCAAAGTGAAAATGATGTGAAAACGAATTGATTTTTTTTTTGTATTGGTTATTTTTTCAACCATCAAGGAGATTTCACAATTCGATTTGTATATATCCTTATAAAAATAGTTTATTCGGAAATTATAAACCTTTAGACTTTGGAAAATTATATATGTATGGAAAATGTTATTATTGTTATAAATCTGAATTTTGTTGTTACAAATCTTGCTATTGCTATTGATTGATCACACGATTGACACCATGCTATGCTGGCATTATATCTATTACAAGTTGGACATTCTTCATATGTTTCTCTTTTTCTCTTTGAAACCTTTTTTTTTAGCCATAAATGTATATCACATGTAAAGTTGGTGTCTGTAACTGTTTTCACATTTTCTGCAACTGCAGATTTTAAAGTTTGCAATTTTTCCTAAAACCTCTGCAACCCTTGAAACTGCCTGCCACCTTCAACTTCTGTAACCATATGGGGCATGGACAATAGAAAGGGGGTAAATAGTGATGGGCGTAAAAATTATCTTAAGTACTCAATAACTCTATTGGTGACTTATTAAGTGTTAAAAACACAAACATGCAGATCTCTTATTGGTATAGCTAAAATTATTTGAAACTGTTTAATCAAATATTAATTTGACAAACAAGTTAATTAATTTAGTACTGTGCATAAAATTCAGTGTATGGAGTGTGCATGCTAACCAAATTTGATAATTATTTTTCCAAATCTGCTGATTTGGTTAGCACAGTACATTCCACATGCTGAATTCTATACACTGGGATTGATTGACAAAATGGATATTTTGGATTAATAACTCTCACTAAGAGTGCAACAGTTAATAAGTGGTTATTAACTATTAAATAACTTGGAGTTATTAAGTGTAGGGTTAAAAACTCCCATCACTAGGGGAAATGTCAAAAATCACGATTTTGAGTTGATGCCACATATATATGTAACTCGTTGCAAGGAACAATACCCACATTACTTAATAAGATTTTAGATATCTGCAATACATATAAGAACCTAAAAATCGGTAAATGTAATACAGTCAGGGATATTTCCATAGATGGAAATACTAAATACCGTAATGATCGATTGTATGAAGAATTCTAGAAGAAATTCTATTGGCTAAATTTAACCAGGGATAATAACTTGTAATGATCGACGTCATGAAAAGAAATTCTAATTGGCTAAATTCTGTGCAGGTCTTTTCGTTGAATAAAAAATAATAATCTTTAGAGGAAAAGAAAAACAAGAAAAACATGGCGGGAGCTTTATTAATTGGTCATATAATTTCCAAAATTGTATAATATGTGCATTTTTAACTTTTCTACAAGCTTACCCAAGATCAAGCAATGTCAGAGGTGCTATTTAACTAATATATAACATATTATTATATTAATAATGATTTTTATTTGTTATTAAATAATTTATTAAGCTGCCATTCATCAGAACAAAATACTTCATTTAATCTTTAAAAATAGAATTTAAAATAAATTTCCTTGCCAATTCTGTTAAATAATAAATAAAGGATACATACAAAATCCATATAGTAAAAAAATAAATAATGACTATAATAGTTCTAGAATCAATAGCCACCGTTGTAAATAATTTATTTGGAGTTTTATGATTACATTCCATACCAAACTACTACTTTAGTGCTCCATGCTGCAATCCAACAAAGTTGTTGCAAGGCAGTTACAACTAGGTGTTGCAATCATTTTTATATGATGTAAAGGTGGTTACAACCATCATCAAAGTTGCAGTTGGTATCTTTAAAAAAATAATAATAAAGCCTAGATAAAAATATATTGTTATTAACAAATTAAATTACATGAATAAATATAGTAATAGTGATTCTGAATATACTTAATAATAAGATTTGCACCAACATAGCGTCAGCTGGCTTACTGGATATTTGCTTGCAATATCTTCATACAAACAATACAAACATAATGGTCTTAAAATTAAATTTCTAGTCATAAATTTCTAATTTTTAGTAAAAACGTACTTTGAACAAATCAACAGATTATTACAGATTATTTACAGATTATGAAAGAGCAAGTTTAATAGTATTTCTTTCAATTATTATAAACTGATTTATTTTTAGAAAAAGTAACATAGATATAACAAGAAGTATCTTGTGAATTCGTTTGTAACATATAATGAATTGATCAGTAGACTATTCTGGAATCGAATCCCAATATGGAAATATCCCTGACTGTAATACGAATTTAATAAAGTTGTACAAAATATACAGTCAACCCTTGTTTCAACGAATCAACGAATTTTATATATAAATCGTGTTACAACGAATTTTTGGTAGGGATCTTGGAATATAAGAACTAATCGCGTTTCAACGAATTCACGTGGCAATAGATCAACATGTAAATAAAATTAAATCATACAATAAAAAATTAAATCATGCAATATTTAAATTATAAAAAATTAAACATGCGATTTTTTAAAAAACATGTATTCTAATAAATCATGTAATTATTTTCATGATTTTAACTTAAAGATGTAATAAAATGTACGTTTACTTTTGCAATTTTATGTATATAGGAACTTATGATTTATCTTTATTTAAGATGTTATAATAAAACTATAAAACTTATGATTATTTAAAAAAAACATGTACAATTATGATACTGAAAGGTGTGAAAGTTTAATTTTAAGTTCTTAACAATTATCATCCAAAAAATGAGTTTATATTACTGCTGACCAAAAAAGAGAAATTTGTTGATCGAAAAAAAAATAAACCTGAACCAAAAAATATAGATTTAGCAAAACAATTCAATATTAGTGCAGGTCAGGTTAGTGATATATTGAGAGAACCTGAAAGATGGATTAATATAGATCCAAATCCATATCAAGCAAAACTAAAACGATCACATACTTCACCATTTGCTGACGTTGAAGAAACATTGGCTTTATGTATTGAAAAGGCTCTTGAATGTAATTTAACAATCACAGATTTGATTATTCAAAAAAAGGCTACAAATTTTGCTGAACTATTAAACAAAGAATTTAAAGGATCTTCTGGTTGGCTATACAATTTTAAACAAAGATATTCAATCCACAAATATGTTAAACATGGTGAATCACAAGTGCTCCAATTGAAGAGCTTCCAGAAATGATAAGTACTTTGCAAAATCTTCTTAAAGAATATCAATTAGAAGATATTTTTATTTGTGATGAAACTGGTCTTTTCTGGAAAATGAAACCATCTTGTGGATTATCTACAGGCCCTATGTCAGGCACAAAACAAAGTAAAGATAGAGTAACTGTATTGTTAACATGCAATGCTACTGGAATGATTATTGTCACTACCAATAATTCCTGTTGATGCTGATGACACCAAGACATCCTCATTACGAAGCCATTTGAAAGTTGTTGGGATACATCCTTTTTCAAAGTATTGAGTTGCCAGTTCTACCGCTTTATCTTTTAAAAATTTTTCAGCATTTATTCCTTCTTTATACTCAGTATATGGAGGAAGGTTTGGATCAAACGGCCTTTGATCTTTTTCAGCCACAACAGAATAAGAGCCATCCTCAAAATAACAAACTAGATTTTCTCCTTCACCAGGATATTGCACATCATAGTCCATTTTTTGTTTAAAAATTTCTATCTCCTTGTTTGGAACTACCTTTGAGAATGTCAAAAACCATTTTTTTTTTTTAAATTAATTTTCTTTTTTAGAGGATGTTAATGTCAAATCACAAATGCCCTAAAACTAACCAAAGCTGGCCACCAATAAGAAGCTGAGGGATCATCAGGATCAACAAATACAACTTTTTTTCTCATATATTTTGGTTCTATTACGCGTTTATGAGCAAATTTGCTTTCCATTTTTAATTACAAAAATTTACTTTATATTTTTGTTCAAAGTTGAGATCTAATTATTATTTATTATTATTATTATTTACAGGACATTTGTCACTCATATAAAATTTTAGTGATCGACATACATTGAAATAATGAAAAAACCAATTTGAAATGTTACATTAATTTTTTATATTGTGCAACGTAACTTGGCAAACATCCTGGCAATAAAAAGTAAGTGATAAACTGGATCTTCCATTGTAGGATTTTTTCTCCTCTACACCAGAATACGTCTAACTCGCTATTATTTAACCTTTTGCAAATTGACGTTTTCAAATATATTCCCGATGTGGGATTTTTTTAAGTGAATAAATTTTTGTATTTTTTTTTCGGTCACAGGGGCGTGGTAAGAGTTTTCCATTTTATGTGATACAAACTATTGTTGAAAGATTTACAGAAAAAAAATAAATGGATCAAGAGACAGCAAAGGCATTGTTCGAAAAAGGAGCCTTTTTATTATTTTTAAATGCTCCAAAATGTCTAGAGGTCCGTAAGTTATTTTCGATTGTTGTTATTTAGATGAACATTATAACAATAATAAATCTAAGATTACAATTTTAATTATTAAAGTTTGGTATTGATCATAATTCATGGAAAACAGGCCCAAAGTTTATGGGAGTAAAACTTATTCCTCCTGGTTTACATTTTGTTTATTACAGGTAGTTTAGCTGTTCTCCTTTTCAATACTTAATTATTACTATAGATTAAATTTAAGTTGTTACTAGTTTACCAAATGATATAAAAGTTACGAAATTTGAAAATTTTTTATATGCCTATGTTAATTATGTTTTATGTACAATTATTTCAAAATAAAACTTGATCATTCATATATATTTTTTCACTAACATTAATTTATTTTATATCTTTAGTACATCTGACAAGTCGGGAAGTTCTGGATTAAGATCTGGGTTTTTTAAATTTTATGAATATAAAGAGGTAGATATTTGCAAATTGTTTTAATTTATGAGAACAATTAACATTCCAATTATATTTTTAAATAATTTGATTGGATTTAATAATTAATTGATAGGTTTTTATTGTAGAATGGGATTATATCATAGAAGACATTAAATTTGAAGATGAACTTGATAACGATCAAAATGAAAGATTAAAATCAGGTGATTTATCTGGTTAACAAATTAATTAGCCAATTAATTAATAATTTGACTGATATAAATATAAATTAATATGCACGCATGCATCTCAAAAAAAATTTTAACATATCTCTAATTTAGCAAAAA